TCCTTCCTTCCTTCCTTCCTTCCTTCCTTCCTTCCTTCCTTCCTTCCTTCCTTCTTGAGGGATTTCCTTTCAGAGAGTTATGATTACGAAAGAAGAGACAATGGCTACAAGAATAAGTAGCAAAACTGGATTGTGTGCCATAAAGTGGAAAAGGATTAATTTTAAATAGAGAGTTTGTATGTGTGTATGTATAGATTTTATATGAAGAGAGTACATGCATTTGTATACATGAGACTACGCTTACTGCCTTTAAATAAAAATATTTCAGAGTCTGGTTTGTAGAAACATTCTCCATTTTTTAGAAGTATATTTTCTAACAGAAGGGCTCGAATCATGACTTAGAAAAAGATGGCCTCTCAAAAGTTTAGGTCTGAAATCTTGTGCCTAATTACCCGCAGCTTTACATGGCAAACATCCTAAATGTGAAACCAGCGTGAAGGAGAAAAGAAGGTGCTATCCCATTAATTGCTGGTTTAAGATGCTGTTATTCCTTTTTAATAGATACGATGCAAAATCCAGAGTGGCAACATGCATCATTCTTTGCATCCTGCTCCAGGGTATTATCAAACCAGCTTTGCAGATTGCATAGTGTTCGCAGTGAATATATTCTTCCCATCCTGGACCTGTTATCCATTCCAGCATTTTCATATAACATCACAAATGACCTGGAAACTTTCTACCATCCCCATGAAGAGAAGGCCTTGTGTCTCTTACATAATCTTTCTCCTCTGCTTGGCAGGTTAAATGGAGGCACAGATGTGCATGTCGTTTTATTGCCTCAGCAAAAGTTTCTGCATTCATATGTACCATTTCCCAAACAAAGAAGCCGGGACATTCTTTATTTGTAAATTCAGTGTAATAAAGCAGAAAAGGTGGCATACTTGAATTGGTGCATTTATATTTCTAAACTGAATTGTTGTTGGCTAAATTAACTTATCATTCTCCCCAGTTTAAGGGTTTAACTTTTCATAAGCAGTTCTTGTCTTAGGTCCACAGAATTCAATTTCAAGGTCCTATTAAATCACAAATTAGAGGCATGGACTGCCTTCTGTTGGTAGGGAGATACATATTCCTCGCTGCCACAAGATGTATTTTCTTGTATATTCGAACTTGCACCAAATGTGACTTTGACCCTCCCTCCCTTCCTCCCTCCCTTCCATAACTTCTGAAAGATTTCACAAGATTTAAAATACTATAAACTACACATGCATAGGGGCAGGATAAAACAGGATCGGCAACAATTAACAAAAGCAGATTAAAAATAGTTTGAAGACTAAGCATCTAAAACCCTGGGCAACCAAAAAATATTTTTTCTCAACACTGTAAAGACATCAGGCTGAGTACCAATGGTCTTAGTGGTACTGGGAAGGGTGTTTCGAAATTAGGGGGGCATAACTGAATCAATGATATTCTGGCTCCCACTTGTCACATTTGCCTTCAAAGTCTGCCAAATTTAAAAAGATAAATGGCTGTCCTTGGTTGGTCCAGAGATATGGAGAGATATTGTGGAATATTTCCTCAAGCAGAATAGAAAGACAGATGGTTTTATGGACTGTGTCCTCAGCAAAGTGGATTGGTGATAAATGCGGTACCTTTTGTAATTTGAGAGAATGGAACTATTGTAAGGAATTCCTCTCATCTTCTAATGCAATGGTATTGCTCCAGAGTAGCTGCAGGCCTAGAGCTGTGTCAGCTTTACTTAGCAGATACTAAAATGCTGGGTTTGTGACAACCCCTCACAAGAGCTTTATTCTTTGCACCTCTCTCTGCCCTGCCTTTGGGTTATTACTTTAATTCACACCACATTTACAAGTATAAACAATATATGAATGTGAGCACGTGTCTGTTAAAAATGTTAACGGTATTATGTTCAACCAATACCTAATTATTTTTTGTTCCAATTGATGAACCATCCTGACCTTTATTAGTATGTAGATGTTCAAAACTAAAATTTATCCAGTGAACTAAGGACAGTTCAACATTGGAACTAATCACCCAGAATGGCTCCCCTTGATTTGGATATTTTCAGGCAGAAGCTAGACAATCATCTGTGTGGAATATGTTAATTTGGATTATTGTGTCAAGCAGACTTAATGGCCTTTTCCAACTCTAGGATTCTCTGATTCTACCTCTTGTCAATATCCTTTTGAAATGCTGCTGAACTGGTTAGTGCCCTGGAGAACATGCTCTCTAGTAGGTCTCCTTTTCTCAGGAAAGCCTTAGCAGTATAACTGCTGCCAGCCAGCAGTTGCCTTTTCAAGGAGGTGGTAGAAAGGAGGTAAACGCAAGTAATTGTTTTATATGTCTATTCTTTTTCTTTAGGGTGGCCACTGATCATAACATTGACAACACAACAGCCATCCTGAGAGAATGGCTGAAGAATGTACAAAAACTCTATCACTATGTCGAATGGAGGCCAATGGATGACCCTCAGTAAGTATTGGAGCAAAAGAAATGTGATGTCTAAGTTACTTGGTGGAACATGTATCAGCACATTAAGTTTGGGAATGCAGGTTGGGATTAAAATTCTTAGCCACCTTCCAGAACTCACTAAACTACACCTCTCCATTGGTCCTGCTGTTCTAAGGAAAGTTGTTCTAATTCAGCACATGACATTGGAGAGTTGATTACATAGAGTAGAGTGTTCCTGGGTTGTGGATTTCTGCTATTATACGTGCCAGTGTTCAGTAGTGTGGTTAGTTTCTTGGTATCAGTGGAGGCCCTGGTGAAGAAAACACGAGCAAAGCATGTGTCATACATAAGATGCTGTGAATAATAATAATAATAATAAAAAAAGAAAGAACTGGAGAAAATCACAAAATATAAAGACCTGCAAATAGAAGCAGAACAACTATGGCAAAACAAATCAAAGATAGTACTGATAGTTGTAAGTGCCTTAGGTGCAATCCCAAAACATCTGGAGCATCACTTGAAGACCATCAGCACTGACAAAATCACCATCAGTCAATTGCAAAAGGCAGCTTTACTTGGAACAGCTTATATCCTGCGGCAATACCTTTAACGCCATCAAACAACTGCACCATAAGCTTCATCCCTTTGGGGCATGCAGTACAATGTTGCAACAGATATAGAGAAAGGAGTGAGGCTCATATTGTGATGCTGCAACACTCCTTGTGTCTCTCAGGCCCTCTTTTTGCCCCCTTGTGGATGCTGCTGATTGACATAGCAATTCTCTGTTGTGTCATTATATTTTAAGTGAGTAGCTACATTACAACTGGTATATTCTAATGGTATTGAAATTTTTACACACACACACTTTTATTCTGATCATTATTTAAATGGAGGATAAGGCTATTATTGTGGAGGGTAAGGCTACCAACGGCCATTAGTCACAATGACTATATTTTGTCACTAGTATTGGGAGCAACAAGTCTTTGCTTTGGAAATCCCAGAAGACATTGGGGGAACTGAATTTCAATCTGATCTGAATTGGTCCTGCATGATTCAGGTTGGTCCTCTGCTTTGATCCTGCATGACTCAGGTTATACTCTTAACTTTTTTCAATCTAGAGAAGAAATTAGCCAGGAAAATTTGCTGGGGTAGGCTTTCATGCCAGTTCTTGGCATTACTACAGAACACATTTCCTGTTCAAAATGCCTAATAAGAATGTTGAAAGTGAGCATGATTTTGTTTGTGAGGTTTGCCTCACACTAGTTTTCTTTCTGTCCTGGAAAGCAGTAGTAAAAAACAAGACCACCTAGGCCAGATAAACTTTAACTTAGCAGGACTGTGTGTAGAAGTTTTTTGTTTTTTTTTAACCAATGTTGTGATTTGCAGGTAATGGCGGGATAACATAAGACAACTAACTCTACAATATCTATTCCTAAGTAAGCTGACTGCATTGAATGACACAAACTCCTAGATTAATGCAGATAGAATTGCAGCTTAAGAAAATCTCTGAAAAAAAAGTCCTCCTGCTTTATCAATTGCTGAGAGCAAAGAAGGGGTCTAAAGGATAGCAGACCTCTTTTACAGGCAGCAGGAAGAATTCTTTTCAGCTGTAGAGCTTGCAGATCAAAGCAGTTGGGGGATCTAAAAATACTGCATTTGCCCTGCTGGATCAGACTAGAAGATAATTAGTCCAGCATTCTGCTTCTGACAATGGTCAGCCAGTGATCTCTGGAAATTTACAATGTGGGCTGTGCAAGGCATGGTTATCCCACTGTTTATCGCACACAATGCTATTTCTATGTGGAGTTTTCCCTCTTCTTAAGCAGTTTGATAACAAACCTTTTTTCTGTGACACTTCATAATCCTTTTTAACAGGGTTCCTCAACCTCAGCAACTTTAAGATGGGTGGGCTTCAACTCCCAGAATTCCTCAGCCAGCCAT